TGAAAAACATTTTATATTTTTCTGCAAAACATCCCCTTACCACTTAAAAAACTGATTTGGGGTGGTCCTAGAATCCATCTTGGCAAATATATATGTATGTGTGTGTGTGTGTGTGTGTGTGTGTATATACACACATATATATATACACATATATATATATGGGCAAACAAAGTGGTTGCAAAAAATATGTGGGCAAACAAAGTGGTTGCAAAAAATATGTAAATATATATGTACATGTGTCTATGTATGTGTGTATATATATATACACATACATACATATATATGTGTGTGTGTATGTATATATATGCTAAAAATGGCAATAATTTATAGAATATGGAACTTGACAAACTCTTTTCCCATCTAGATACGTAATACCACAGTTTCCATTCTTTGAAAAAGAAATTGAACATACATTTGTTGTTAGATTTGCAGTAAATGTAAGAAAAAATTAATATGAAACATACTTTTAAAGTATGTTTATACTTGAATATGCAGAGAATATACATTCTCTGTATATAATAGCAGCTGTGTCAACTAGAAGGAACCCCATTCAACTGGTCCAAACTCCTACACAAGACTGCCCAACAACAAGTGGTGACCCCTAATCACCAAGAATGGAGATTCTACACGTTCTTTAATAACTTATTTCAACAGTTAAAGTCAATGTTGAAATAACTACTATATGCCAGATACTTCACATGTAAAATAATTTTAAAGTTTTCTATATACACATTCATTATGGTGTTTGTGTTGCACAGTCACACATTTATTAACACTACTCTCGGATATACAAAGGAGATATAACTTCTTCATATTCTATAATATGTCTGACTTCTCACCTCACTGGAAAGAGGTGGGGGGAAAAAGCAGTATCAGCACAAAATGATAAATTCAATCCCACCCAACAATTGAAATGCTTTCTTTAGATAACTAAATTCCTTTGGGCGGGAAGAATAACTCACATTTCTTTCCTCTTCCCTACTTCTTTTCAAAATGGGATATAAGAATGAAGAGATAGGGGGCCTATGTTAACTCATGGACCTCTTCCCTGGTTGAAGGGGACCCGTGGGTATATAGCATGTAGAGGAAAGACTTCCACATACAGAAGCACTTGTCTAGGAGATAAGAAAACTTTGTTTCACTCCACTGGCGCTAACCTCCTGAAACTGATAAGGAATTATGAACATTGAGTAACCCTGGGATGCTAGACCTACTTGGGGCCTAATTAAAATGCCTTCCTAGTCACTGAAAAATCAGGCTTGTTTTAACTAACTACAAGTCCAATTACAGACTCACTCTGTCTTATCTAGCATGCTAAAATGGTAGTTAAGTACAGCATGGTCATTATGAACTCTTTCTTATATTAAAAAAAAAAAAACTTTGCCTTTTCCTCCTCAGTGAACTATGCAGTGAATTTCTTTACTGATATGTGTTCCCTTGCATAACATTTTTTTTTTAATTTAAAAATATTTGTTTTATTCTTTGACAATGTGTTGATACCTTCCAAGGTGAGATTGGTACTACCCTATCTCTGATTCTTGTGGTGTTTGCTGGGAAACTCTGCATGTGGAGCACTTTGGACCTGTTCTCTATTTCCTCATGGTCTGTTGGTCTTTCCTGACAATTTGACCCCATCAATGCCCTGGGGCTTCTGCAGACATTTTCTTTCCTGGCCTGGAGGTTTTGCTATCCAGCTCTCAGATAAGGTCCCTTTACCTGAAGCTTTGATGATGCAAACTGGCAAGTTTCCCAGTCAGATCCTGAGTTCACTCGCATATCCTTTCTTAGCAGCCGGTGAAAGCATATTGGTCTTTCCATACCACGTGGGAACTTGCACTGTCTTAGGAGTGCCTTATATTAGCCAATCCTGCCATGCTAATAGTCTTCCTCAGATACAGTTGTCCACATGTGGGTAACTCGTATAGTGTTCAGAGCTCTTAAAAAATGGAAGGCAAAAACTACTCTTCCCTCAGTATTTCCTTTAATCTATCTAACATACCTAATATATCTTCTCTTTGGGACCACGCGTTAGAGAGTTGAAGTTGTAACACAGATCTTCTACTTCCATTACTCCTCTTCCCTTATTCTTCCCTCAATCCCTACTAATGCAATCAGCTTTTCTTTTAGTTTGATTTTCTATCAGAGATTCTTTCAACATCATCCACGTTCCAACCTTATGACTTTCCCAAAAGGATGAGTGGAATATGGAAAGAGAAATTAGTTTAATGACAATGAAATATAAATGAGTGGGTATATAGAAAATTTTTAAATTATTTTACATGTGAAGTATCTGGCATATAGTAGTTATTTCAACATTTGTAACTGTTATTATTATGCTGCCCAAACAGATAGTTTATAATGTGGCCAAAAAGCAAGTGATGGCTTCCTAGTCTCAAATTACAGTCAGGAAAGAGGTGAACCTCACCTTCACTGCAAGAGATAGCTGGATTATTTGCCAAGCTTCTACAGAATACTTTGAAGTGATAGGGGTGGGAAGCAATGCAGCAGGGCTCAGCTGGAAGAGACTATAAGAAGATTGAGGTAGAGAGCTTTCTATTTTTATTTTTTGTATGAATCTGGGAAGCAGAAATACCATAGAATAAGGGGAAATTATGATAAGAAGCTACTTGCTGTTCTTTATGAAACTTGCTCTTCAGATTTTAAAACTCAGTGCACTCACTATACAATTTGTAACAAAGGCCAATACAAACAAGTGATTCTAACCCTTAAAAAGGGGGACTCTAATTGTTAGCACTGTCTAAATGTTTTATAGGACAAAAAACATCTAAAATACTGTCCATGAATATCTAATTTGTGTAAGAACCACAAATGAATAAATATATATTTAGTATAATATTATGAATGCATGTGCTACTATGTATCTATTATACTACTTTAAGCAAATAAAGAGTTCAGTTAGCTATTCTACAGATTCATACCGACTATAAATCATATCTTCTCCATGCCAATCCAAACCAAATATTATCATAATCAATGAAGGATGTGGGTATTAGCCTTTACTTCTCACATAAGTATTTTTTTAAGTAATGTGATCATTACATGATTAATCAATTCCCAGATGGCTCTTCTTTTCCAAGGATCAAATATTTTACATTTATGAAATTCAAAGGACTAGCCCATGATAATTATGGTTATTTTCTTATATGTTACATACTCCATAATCAGTACTTTCAGGATGCTTCTTTTAAAGACTCCTGAACATTACTGGGTTCTCACTCATCCCCATATATTCACTGACTATGGTTTCTATTCTCTTGGATCCAGCCTATCTATAAGAAGTTCCTCCAGACTCAGTGCAGTTTGTCTTCTCATGGACTTCTGTGTGTACCTCTCTGCCATTAGCACACTCCTTTGTTATCTGTTCACTCCATGAGAATGATATTTCCTCTGTGATTTTTTCTTTTGTACGTTCCCTTCAATTATAAGCTCTGTCTTTTTAGGAAATGGCTTGCTATTTCAGTCTTCCCAAGATTGTTAAAAAGTCAAACTATTTTTCTTTCATCCTAAAATTCTTGATTTCCTGGAAGGGGAAGACAAGAATAAAATATGACAGATGGGCCATTTAGTCTGGGTCACGATATTATGCCATGGAATAGTAGAATTATTCAGTCACATGGCATAGCATCTCTTTAAACTGCCCAATCCAAAAGTAAAGATATGTATTGTTAACTGGAAAAATAGCTCATCCATAACATATATTTCTCTAGAAGAAAAGTTTTTCTTACACCTGCCCACCAGCCAGCCAAGTTTCTAAGCCCCCTTAGTCCCCAACTTTGGTTTCCAGAATTAATTTAACCCTATTATCATGTGCCTTCAGCCCTCAGCATGTAAAAATCCTTTGGGTTATCATTCCCTAGCCAAGGGAAAATAAAATCAGAGCAGAGAGGTGCTGATTTTGGAGCATCAAAGGATTTGAATGCCCACCACCATCTTCTGATTTATCAAATTCCAAGAGATCACTTTCTGTATTATCCCAGAAAATTATGAGGCAATAGTTAAAGTACATAGAGTCTGAAATCAGACAGACATGTGTTGGAATCCTGATTCTATAACTGTTAAATTACTTGGCAAGGAGGACTGTTTCACATCTCTAAGCCTAAATTTCTAATCTATAAAATGAATATAAACTCTCAAAGTATTGTTGTGCCATGAGGACTTGCAGTAATTTGTCTGAAGTGTTTAGTACATATCTGGCACACAGGAGGCAGGTCAGTCATAAAAGCAATATATTAGAAAAAAGGTAATTGGTAGTCTAAAAAGTCTGCAAAGCAGTCTTAATTTCTTTAAATAACAAAGAACATTCTTATTCAAAAAGCCTTAAACTGAAGGAAACACATGTGTATTTGGCCACCTTCCATGTAAGTGGCATAATAGGTCATCTCATGATAACTGTGGCTTTTTTCTTATATTCACACACTTCATCATTAGTACTTTCAAGATGATCCTATGTTAGGATTCTCACTTATATATTCACCATCAGGGACCGGGACCCCAAGAAACTCAATATTCTGGGTTTTTCTTACCTTCTCTATAGAAGTAGAGTTTTGGTTAAGCAGTATCTAAAGGTCTATAAGATCTCTTTCTTGAGATATGACCCTAATGGTCAGAAGGGGTGTGGGAACTTAGTAAAGACACAGTAAGGGAGAGACCTAAATAAACTTTTTCTATATTTCCCTGCACAGAACTCTGCTTGTGTGAGCTCAAGCCTTTCCCTCTCCTTGTGTTCTACACTCAGAACTCAGGTATCTGCTCCCCAACTGGAAGTTCCCTCTCCCTGGAATGAAGGATAAAAGTCAGAAAATAACTGAAGATCCTTACGGAAATGAAGTCGCCTAGAAGTGGGATGAAAATGGAGAGGGAGGTGGAGTCAGACTCTCCAGGACAAGGCTCTTATTCCTGGATTTTTGAAGAAAAGGGAACTAGGTGAACTAGTTGCCAGGACAACCTGCTGTTGGAGCAAGGGCGGTTGTGGCAAGGAAATGGGAGACCTATGGTTGTTCCTGCTCCTGCCCCTGTCCCTGGCAGCCTTCCATGGGGTCAAAGGCTGCTTGGAATGTGACCCCAAATTCATAGAAGATATTAAGTCCTTGCTGGCAAAGCTGGTACCCTCAGAAATCCCTGGCCAAACTCATCTGCTTGAACGGCAGATTAAGGAGATGATCAATTTAAGCTTCAAGGTCTCCCACGGGAACAAGATGCTTCGGGTGTTGGGTGAGGGAAGCTTGAGTCCTTGAGAGTTTTGGGGGTTAAAGGGAGAAGGGAGGCAGGGAAAAGAGCACCTGGGCCCACAAAATTTCCTCCACAGATGTAATTATTTCCCCACATATAATTTTACCTCTCTTCTCTAGCTGTTGAAAAGGCTGTCAATTTGAGAATATGGCTGAAGAATGAACTTTCTAAACTGGGCAATGAAACATGGAAAGGTGAGGTATTGTTTCAATGTTAAAATACTGTATTTCTCAAGCAAGTGTGAAGAAAGTTTGCTGGGGGAAACAAGGCAAAACAATTAAAATTATATTCTAAGGGGAAAGGCCACCTTTATTTTCTGATGTTCCTTCTACTCGTCTTAGGTGGCTTTATCCTTCAAGGCAAGCTTCTCGATGTCCGCCAAAACCTGGAATCCAAACTGAAAGAAATATTAAAGAAGTTCTCTGAAGTTGGTAATAAAAGATGTCTATCTAACAACACTGAAATTATGTGAAAGAAATAAGAAATGAGGGGTGAGAGGAAGAATGTGGTTTCATATTAGTGATTTAGAATGGGTAAAGGGGTGGCTGAAACTTAATGGGTAACCAAATAAAAGCTACTTGGGTTTAAATATGACAAACTCTAAGTTGATTCTAAGCTCATGAGAACTCTCTGATTCTCTTTTAGCTTGTTCTGAAGATTGTGGTGAGTACAGTACATGTGACACCTTTAGGTTTCAGCTCCTATTCTCCCATATGCTTTGCTCTATACAGCCCTATCTCTCCCACCTGTCCACATTAAGAACCCACTTCTTAGCACTGTGGTTCCAAGGAGGAATGTCAATAATATCTGACAATAAAATCTAGCTTATGGAAATCTCAGTCACCTCACAGATTTTGGAGATGCTCAGAGGTCTCCGAAAGGATAGTTTACAACCCATAGCACCAGTATAAGCCATGGCATGATTTTTCCCATTTCTTCTCCTGAGATCTGACTTAAATTACAGAAGGTTTTGAACCATCAGAAAACTTGACCATTAGAGGAAAAGGAAATTGAGAACAATGTAACCTTAAGAGTCCTGGAAATGCCTGAGACCTAATCCATACTTGATATCTGAACTAAGGAAATTCTATGACATGGTCTCCTCCAACTGTCTTTCTTCTCTTTATCAGTTGTGATTGAAGGTCCCATCTTGGATTGTTGGACCTGTCTTCGCATCACTACCCGATGCTTCAAAGGAGAGTATTGTGGAGGTAACAAAGATTGTGGTATGGCATTTGGAGGGGTCAGGGGTCAAGGTAATGAGTCACTCACTGATTTATTTGACAAATATTTGTTGAGCATCTTCTATGTTGATCATGCTGTTACAAATAAAAGCTAAAATGTTGGGCAAAATTTGTACTAGTATGAATTGTTGGGCACTGGACCAACTGAAGGGCTGAGAAATAAAAAGACTGGACTAAGGGTAGAGAAATTAGGCTAGGGGCAGTAAGGGTAAAAGTTTTTTAGAGCCTAGAGTTCTAAGAATAATAAAAATCACAGCCATCAGAAAACAGTGACAGAAGTGGTGAATAGAGCAATAGTTGTAGGTTAAAAAAAAAATCTTCTATTATGAATAAGTTCTCATTATTTTTCATCTCCAAAACTTACTCTTTTTCCCTTTCTCCTTCCAGAAGAGGATTCAAGGAAGCTTGAAAATCAAGAAATTGCACTATTTCTGATATTGCTAGCAGAAGCTGTAATATTGGGAAGTGCTTTGTTACTGTGAGTTTTTCTCCCTCCAAACAAACACTGGGTCAGGCGCTCCTATGGCAAAGAGACTGCTCAACCTTCCCCGTCCTTCCAATGGAAATAAGGGGAAAGAAGTCATTTGAAACTTTGGGATATGATACTAACAGGAATGAAGTGAATGAAAGTTTGATGGGATAAAAGTTAAAACAAGGGAAATGGAGGAGGTACAATGAAGTATGAGGATTGAAGAGTTATCCAGAAAGGAATAAAAAAAATGTATAATTGCTTTTAAAAGTTAGGCTACTAATATTGAAGTTGGAATTATCTTGTTTCTCTACTCTAGATTCCATATTTTTGTCACTCATCGGAGGAAAATGAAGGCAATACGAAGGTCATTAAAGAAATATTTGGAGAAGAAACTTGAAGAATTAATGGGGATGACAGACGAGAAGGATAAGGAAGATTTTGGAATAAGAAAATAAATACATAGCCAGAGACAGTAGGTCTTCCATGATTCTCTTAAGTGTTGACTCAGAGTAGAAAACTGGGAATAAGCTCTTTTGTGGTCATAAAATCATAGTATTTTAAAACTGAAATAGAACTTAGAGTTTCTCTAGTAAAGATCCTTATTGAAATCCTGAGGCAATGGAAGCAATGAGAAGCAAGTGATTTACCTGGAGATGTAGAAAAAGTAATGTTAGTATGTTGCAATGCACAAAAAAAAATGATATGTTATATGATTTAATAAAGAATGTATGGTTGGTAACTCTCATTAATGGCTATAATTAGAATAACTTTTAAATTTCTAAGGCTGCTTTTTACTTCTAACTGTTCATTTTGTTACTTTTTCCATATTTATCATTATGGTCAATGTGGACAATTTTCTTTGATAATACATAACATTTAATATTCTTCATGATATCATACACACATACCACAATGTCCAAAATATTAGTTCTGAGTAGTTGAGGTTTGACCAATAAATTTTCCCTAAGTTTATGCTCTATGACTGAATTGAATATTAATTTCTGATTCTTTAAGCTGTTTCTATCAAACACCTTTTATGTGTATAATACCCTAATTAATGCTTTACATATATTATCTAATTGAATTCTCACAATAATTTTGTGAGTACTATTGTTATTTTCTCCATATTAGGGATGAGGAAATGAAAATAACTAATTTAAGGTCACACAGCTACTAATCTAGGCTGTGACAATCTCCTCTGATGACTGACTTGTGCTTATACGAACCATCTAGTTGGTGCTGACAGCTATAGACATATATTGATAGATAGGTTAATGGAGAGATAATAAATAAGGGTTTATTGTCATAACATATTCTTGATTACAGATAGTAGTGGCAAAGACTAGAATAAAACTGAAGCCTGGCTAAGTCTAAAATACATGAACTTTCCATTCTGTTTTGTTTCTATTTATTCTGTAAGCTCATTTCGAAAGATAAATACAATGGTTTAGCAGCGGGGAGATAGTTTTAGAAGTCCTGCTTCAGTGGTGGGTAGAATTATTTCAAATATTTCACCATTATATATCTTTGAGTGCTTACTTGTTGTTGCTGCTATATTAATAAAATATTGATTAGATGGGAATGTACTTGGGGAGGACCTGGACACTGATATCTCTCAGTTGCTAAATTTGAACTTCATGTTAAAAATTCCCAATAACGGTGTTTTTACATTTACCATTTCCCAATGATTTAAAACTCATCTCATCAAAAGTCTTGAAACATATTAATTTCATTCATGGTATTAATTAATTATCTTTATATTGTTTTATTTTTCATTATAGATAACTATATAAATGGGATAACATACTTGCTAGGGTTTGTGTGTTTTGGCGTTTCTTTGCTTTAGTGAAGCCTTTTAAATTTCTAGTCCTAAAAGTTTGTTGTCTCCTCCCCATTCCTCTCCTACTCCATTCTCATCATTCCACTCTAGAAAACCTAGGTGAGAGAGTTAGGATTTCTCTTTCATTATTTTATCAGAATCTAAATATATATAAATGAACATATACCACACATACATACAAATATTGCAATTAAAAAATTTAGTAGATTTTAAGACATATTGATTTTCATATTTAAATACTTTGTGGAAATTATTTTAAGCCAACTGGTATAAGTCTCTTTTTGGTGGTTGTATGCAACATTGTGCTGTAGTGGTACCACAATTATTCCAACATTCCTCTATTTTGAGTAGTTTTTTCATTTCCATTTTTTTTATCACTATGAATAATGTTGCTATAGACACTTGAATAGACATATCCCTACTTGTTGAAACCTTCTAAGAAATAGTGTTACTGAATTGGGATATCTGAAGTGAAAGATTTATGCACTTTGAAATGTAATAAATATGAGAGAAAAATGTAATAATTTGCAAATATACCAGTACTAACCAGCAGTCCATGTTTGCCACATCCCCATCAGAAATAAGTTTTACTAGTCTGATAAATATGATAATTAATCTACCTTTATTTTATCTGCTCGTGCATCATCTTTTCCAATGATTCAGTGCCATGTGAACAGCCCAAGAGTGAATTGCCTATTCATATACTCTAACTTTGAGTTGTCTTTGTCTTGTCAACTTATATCACTTGCAGATATAAGTATTATTTTTCCCAAACCTATCCTTTGTCATTAAACACTTAAGGTGCTGTTTTAGCTATTTACTTATCCATTTATCTCCACTTATTTTCTATTTTAATACCTACATATAAAATAAATACTTATTGACTTTTGGATAGTCATTCTACATCTAGTCACTTAAAAAAATTGTTTCTTAATTTTACTTTTTAAAATAAAATCTCTTGTATTTTCAAGGTTTTCAATTTTATTACAAAACAAATGTTTTATATTTTCTCTTCTACTATTTATACCAATTATTTTGCTTTCTTATCCTGGTGCATTTGCAAGAACATCTAATACAGTCCATAAAAATAATCAATAGTTATTATTTTAATAAAAATGAGAATTTAATCATTGAATAAACACTAGTCTTTAAGCAGCAACTATGAGGGAATGTTAAGACAGTGACTCTTAAGGAAATGGTAAATTAATATTTTGGAAGTATTCCAAAACAAACTAAAACTATATTTGAATACCTGTTATAGTGGCTTCTTTGGAGTTAAAAAAATCTAGTCCTCTTGAGAACTCTGATATGCAAATGTTTTTAGATACTATTACTGCATTTAAACAGTCAAATCTCAAATTCCTTTATAAATTGGTTATAATGTTTCAAAATGAGTTAAATGAATCCTCATCAGTAATATGTCCTCTTAGTCCTCTTGGTCCCAGAAAATGCAAAAGACTGTCCAGGACACAGAAAACAAATACCTTGGAAAATAAGAAAAAAACACACAGGAAAATATCACAAGAAAGAACAACTTTCTCTTTTGTGCCTTGAACTTGCCACAGCTGTTAAGGACATAGTTATTTCTCTTTGTGGCATAAAAGTTTATGTAACAGAGGTAGGAAAAGATTATAAGAAGCAAAGTTTCAGAAAAATTTTATAAATATATTGGTAATATAATAAAATATTGACTACAAAATGAACAAAACCATCTTTGTATTTTAAAAAAGAGAAACTGGATATGGTTCCATAGTGTAGCAGTTAGTACGTCTGTTTTATACACAGAAGGCCCTGGGTTTGCACCCCAGTGGACCCACAGTCCATGGTCTACAGCCAAGCCACCCTGAACAAGCCCGATGTCTGACCTCGGAAGCTAAGCAGGGTTGGGCCTGGTTAGTACTTGGATGGGAGACCACCTAGGAAGACCAGGTGCTGTAGGCATGACTAATAATAAATAAATAAATAAATAAATAAATAAATAAATAAATAAATAAATAAATAAAAAGAGAAATTAAATATTTATGTTTATAAAGGGAAACAGAAAATAAAAGATCAGAAGAGATTTAGACAAAAGCAATAGTTACTAACATGTGTATCATACACAAACATAATAACTTTATACTTTGTAAACACTTGAGTGTTGATCTTTAGGCATGAAAAAAGAATATATAATATATTTTTCAAAGAGAGAGAGAAGGAATAAGGTTCCAGTGATCCAAGTAAAGCAAGTAATAAGAAAAAAAGAAGCAGGGTACATGGCAAACAGAAAACGCAATATGTAATAACAAAAATAAAAATAAACTAAATACATGAATCAAAAGATTGTTTTAGATTGAATATTTTACATTCTAATCATAAGCTACTTATAGGAGATAAACCTAAAATAACATGACAAGCTAAATGTGAAATAAAAGAATTGACTATCAAGCAAAACCTATCCAAAACAAAGCAGATATTACATTATTAATATCAGTTAAAAGATTTTTAATTGAATTTAAGCCAAAGATCATTAACAAGAATAAAGAATGATATTATATAATGATAAAAGTGATAAGTAGACCACAATATACAGCAACAATAAATTGTATGAACCTAACAACATAACCCTGATATAAAGAAAGGAAAAGTCATATTGACATGATTTCTGCAACCATTATGAGAAAGTTTAATACACCTATCTTAGAATCTGATAAAGCTAAAGAAAAAAATGTTAGTACATATTTATAGAACACAATAAGCAATCTTAACCTGTATTAAACCCTGTACGCAAGTAATATGTAAATTTTCTTTCTAATACAGATAGATCATTTATAAAAATTGACAATGTGCTTGGTTTGACAGACAGTAACTAGTTTTCTCCTAAGTTCCATTCCTCCTGGGTACATGGCTAGACTACATTCCCTAGCCTTCTTTACAGTTAGGTGTAGCTATGTAACTGAATTCTGATCGATAGAATGTGAGTGAAAGTGATATAGCTGTTTCTAAGTCTGATGTATACAGACTTAAAGGGATAATCCCCTAGCCTCTTTCTTCCTTAAAGGTGGATGTCAATATTCAGGAATATCTCAGAATATTAAAGATGTCTCTAATTTGGCACATCTAATTTGTATTTCATAAAGCTTTCATTTGGAAGCTTATTTCATTAAGCTTATAAGATCTTAGGATTAGCATTACGTATTTACATAATTATGTAATACACAGGCCACAAACAGAAAATTTCAACAAATTCCAGAGAATGAAAATCATGAAGAGCCATTTCAGATCACAGGCAATAAAATTAAAACTAATGACAAATAATACAAGATATTTCAAATATTTTAAAAGTAAAAAATTATATTTGTAAGTAATTTCATGAATTAAAAATGAAACTAAAATGTGTTTAGTTTCCCAATTGAGTGACTGAGGTTCCCACTGTGAGGTCTGGCCTACAAAGAGTGATCATAGAGCTCTTCAAGGGTGCTGGGCTCTCCTCACAAATTTATTCTTCATAGTATTGGTGAAAGTCTTTCTTCTGCACCCCTCCCACTGTGGGTTAAGAAAGCCAGTTTTGCTGAGGGTGTAGAGATCTCCTCCACTGACAAAGAAGACTCATCAGAATTTAAGGGTTCAATGTCCACAACT